AGAGTTTCCAGTGTCAGTTTTCCTTTATTCAGGGAATAAGTGGAACACTGATGTGAATTATAATGTTAACCTTGAACTCACACATTTTAAAATATTATTTAAAGCTTATCAAAATGTGATCGTTTGTACGCTACCATAAAAAAATATCTGATTTTATACAGGATTACTTTTGGAAAGGCAATCAGTAAACAACATTCTATTTTTGAAGGGCCCTCTTTCATCCTTGCTCCTCCCATTTCATTCGTTCGTCATACAGCAATTCCATAATCCAAGGTTTGACCCAGTAATTACAGAGCAGAACTCAATAAGGGGTACTGCATATCAGCAGACTTGGTTCTGTTTGAAGAAGGGCTTTCCAAGTGTGTTTGTGTGTGTGTTTGTGTGTGTGTGTGAGAGAGAGAGAGAGAGAGAGAGTTTATATACAATGTGCAGATTACTTTTAGCCATGTGTAAAGTATATATATATATATTTTAAAAAATGTCTCCAGATTCCATCCCTTAAATGTTGCCATTAGAGATACCAAGGACATGTGACTTTTCCTTAGCAGCCTCTTCCCTGTTGAACCCCCTTTCCTCTGAGAACCGGCAGCCTCTCTCCACACTTCTAGCCTTGCAGAAAGCTGTAAAGGGCTGGGTTTCTCCCTGGGTGCTGGGATAAAGCAAGATTGGAACTCAAGGCATGCATAGAGTGACGGATTGGAGATGGTAGGCCAGGTGCCTGATATACTTGTTTTTTATTGTTTGTGGTTTTATTATTGTTGTGAGCTGCCCAGAGTTGTGTTTTATAAGATGGGTGGTCATGTAGGGCTAATGCACAATAAAATAAGCCTTGTTTCATTATCCACAGTTAGGCGGGAATGGAATCTCTGTAAATAACAGGGGCTACATCTACCCATAGCCCACCATGTATGAAGACAGCGTATCTATAAATCACACACAGATCCTGTAAAACTATTTGGAAGTAGCAGTCCATCCTTTTCTCAATATACCAGTTGTGGGTAGTGTGAATATGTCCATATCTTACAAAATAGTATATTTGGTTAGATACAGCCAAATGCTGAACATCTTGGGAGGACTGCCCAATATTCTATTGCAGAGGGGCATTTTGCAAAGTGGTCACTCTTTTGTGTTTTCTGGATATAATTGTGTCTTCTCATTCAGAAAAACAAACTAAGATCTCTTTAAATGCATTTCTTCCAATGGGAGAGCAGCACCATAAATTTTATGGAGTGTCTGGAGAAGCCAAGCCAATTAAATATCAACTTAACTCTTGTTCCAGAGGAAATGCTCCAAAGACAATTTGGCAGTGCTTCCTTGGGAAGTGCAGAGTAGGCAGTGACTTACTGGCAAAAACTCCTGCCTTATTCTGTTTTCTGAAACTTCCCCCTTCCCCTAGAAGTTAAGGCCTCCTTGTCCTTCCTGCTAACTCCTATCTTCCACCATCAACCAGCTCAAGGAGAAGAGGGAGAAGGCACCTGTGAGATGCTGTGAAAATGCAGCCTATGATTGACAGGAAGATGCAGAGCTGGTGGCCTTCTGAGATACTGAGGCTGAAGGATCATATGAATGAACTAGTATCTGTATCGTAAGTCAGAAAACATACCATTAGAGACAAGAGGACATATGCAAGGTCATTACCTAGCATCAAGGAAGCACAAGAGTTCTTTCTGACCTAGGAATTTTTATTCAAATGAGAACAAAAATAAACTTGCTCAGATCTAATGCAAGCCCGCAATAAAGGATGTAAACAAGGATTTTCACGAGCATAGAACTAGTAAATTTACAACAAATTGTTAAACAGATAGAGTATAAGGAAGTAAAGTAAATACTGGAAGGAAGAACTGAACAGTAGACATTTGTTGACAAATGAAAATAAAAAGATCAGTGGAACTAGATGGGTTAGTTTTAAAACAACAAAAATGTGAATTTGCTGTTCTTCTAAGACAGAGTTTCACAATCTTGACAATCTTAAGATATATAGATTTCAATTATCACAAGCATGCAGGCTGGGGAATTCTGGGAGTTGAATCTATTGTCAAGGTTAAGAAACCTTAACAAAAGGATGTAGCTGGTCCTTGAATTAGCCTTTCTACCGGGGAAGTAAAAATGTCCAGTCTTATGCCAAGAAAAGGATCGAACAGTAGCCCAACACAGTTGCTTGAAGACATACAGTAGCTCCATTGGATAATGTAGGTGATTACCAATGGAAAAAAGAGTGACTATACAGGAACACAAGTTGTGTTGACCTTCACATACTTGTATGGGATTCAAATATTTTATTATACTTTTTCCAAATAATGTTTACTTATCCCATCTAAACCATTTCCTGTGTTTCAGCTTTGGTTTGAAATACATTAAGTACCAAGCACATTAAAAAAATAACAACACACAATATCGTCCATTAGAATGCTAGACCTTTTGCCCAAAGAAAAAAAGAGCAACTGGATGGAACTTACTGATTGGTCTGTTGTCTTTCCTGTCAAGATTGCCCTCGCCTTGGCTTTGGTCAGAGGGAAAGACTTTATGTAGGAATCATAGAGCAGCTTGGCCAGGGCTCGCAGATCAGCAGACTCAGGATTCAACTGGTCAATGTCACTTGAAATCTCTGCCAAGAGTTTCTCCTTCTCAGCTTGTGGCATTCGCCCAAACCTAATAGCTGAAAGGAAAAAGGCAGCAGTAATAAATTGCACCTAACTGATCTCCATTCTATTGTAGTTGCATTTTCCCTCCACCTCCTTTTACAAGCTTACGGGATGGGTTTCTTTTATGGAAAAAAAAGGCACTGAAAATAACGGGGTGGAAATTATCAGCTCATAAAATGTACCAACAATGAAGAACGAATGAGGATATCCTGGTTTTGTGGCACTAAATGTTGACTCTGACAGTGTCTTTGGTTGGCTTATTTAGGACATTTGGCTAATTCAAGAGAAGTTGATGGCGTTTTGATGGAAACCAAGCCATTGATGTCCAGCTCATAGTAGCATGGCCAATGTAATACAAATATACTGGTAATGAATGAATGAATGAATGTACTGTTACATAAGAAGTGTCATTTTCTGTCACTCCAATATAGCTCTATGCCAGTGGTTCCCAACCTTTTTATGGCCATGCCCCACCTAAGCATTTCTAAAATCCTGACCCCCACCCCCATGACATATAATTCTTACTTTACCCAAAAAGTGAACTTTGCTCACACAGAGGAAGCCTAAAGGCCATTAACTTGGTTTAAACAAAGTTCAAATTTCCCCCATTAAAAATCAAATTGCCCCTTTGTGGAGCGTGGGTCCCACACTGGGAACCACTGCTCTATGCTGTAAGACAGAACCCACTTCCATTATAGTGCCCAATATATCCCGCTATAAAGCAGAGTTAAAATACTTATTTTATTTCAAATTTCTTCACCCATTTTCCATTACCCGTTACAATTATAAGAAAGAGAAAGAAAAGCAGCATATCCATAAAGCGGGGAAGTGCATAGAGTGAATCTAATTACTTTCCTTTTCCCCCTCTAGTATTTCTTTCAATGGAAATCATGGAAAAATGCTTATGTTTGCTTTGAATTCTAACAGCAATATAATTTTTCCTCTCAATGGAAAAGGAGTGCATGTGTTTGGTCAGCTCTGTGTCACCCACACTAGTGACCAATCATTATAAATCACCTCCTTTCTTCTCTTTGAGAAAAAGAAAGGCTTCCCACACATACTAGTACAATCCATGTTGCATAAAAACTCTGCATTTGAATAAAGAGAGTAGCTACCTAGCTACCTGATCTTCTTCTACTGGGGGAATAGCTTTAGGCATGTTCAGAATGTTCATTAATGTGGATTAAAAGTCCTAAAATATATCTATTTAACTATAAGGCTATTTTTCTTTTCTATGCTGAAGGCATAAATAATTTGAAGGGACAAAAAGTTTTCCCTGGTAGAATTTCATTGATTTCAAAGGAACTTTTCTAGATAAACATATATTGTCATGTAATGTTAGGAGTTAAAAATTATCTGTATGTGTATTTGTCTTCATATGTCTGTTTTGTCTATTTCTGTGTAATACACTACAATCAATTTTTCGGTATAACACTAAAAGTATTCTGTCATAAAAAAGATAAACGTTCTTCAGTTTCAGCAGAATATTTTACTTCATTCCTTTATTAGCTGATTATTAAAAGCATGCAAGAAAAAAAGTTTGAAATTTCCAAAGCACCAAATAAGTGTTCTAAATTGTATGTTTTAGGAATTAGTGATTTTACATGGTGTAGCGATTATGGTACTGGTCTAGAAACCAGCAGATAATAAGTTCTATGACTTCCTTGGCCATGAAAACCGACTAGGTGATTTTGGGCTAGTCTCTCTCTCTCAGCTCAACCCAATTCACAGCATTCTTGTGGGGAACATAAGGAGGCAGGAGAATTAGGTATGCTTGCTACCTTAATAAAACAGCAGGATAAAGATACAGATATAATAAAAAAAAATAAAGATACAAAAAGGCAGGATAAAAATCTAACAGGTTCTTCAAAGAAGGCATAAATCAAAGCTTCCATGGTGATCCTTTGCATAGAAAATTCGCAGAGATAAATGGTCCTTTACTTAGGATTGTTCGTTTAATGATGATTCAAAGTTACATTGACTTTGGAAAAAAATGACTTAAGACCTGAGTTTACAATTGTTAGGCCACCCACACGGTGATGTGACTGCAACTCTGGCACTTTGGGACTTGCATTTACAGCTGGTCATAGTGTACTGCAGTCACACACTTGTGATTTATGGTCTTTTTTTTTTTTTGCTGATATCTGGCAAAAAAATTAAAAAGGCCGTTGAGGAAGCTGTATTCTCATAACAACCGCATGGTTTTCCACTGTGATTTGCCTAATACCCATCATAAAAATTGTAAAATTGTGTCTGACTCGACTTACAACCAAATGACTGAAATTTCGGTCCCAATTGCGATCATAAGGTGACAACTGCGAGTACATTTTGTAATGAAAATAATTCTAACAATATCCATGTATTTGAAAACTGGGACAAAGGGTCCAAATTGCTCATGTTCAAAAATGCATGTAGTAGAGTAGAGACAAATGCAATTGAAGTATGTTGGTGGAATTAGAATGAAATGGATTATTCTTTGCAAGATCAAAGAGTCTCTGCTTCCTATGGAGGGAGACAATATTATTTATAATCCTTATTTGTACAGCATGTTTCCATGGATGCCAAGCTTTATAGCCCTTAACATGCTACATAGCCATATTTACCTACAATAAAATCAAGCAAAGCACACAGTTCCTTTAACAATCTGAGAATTTCTAGATTAGTGCTATAAACCATAAATTCTGGAGGTCAACAAAAGCTGTACCTCCAAAACATGTGATTTTCTTCCGCATTTGCAGACATGAAGTATATACATTGGAAAAAGAATTGCCTAAAATTCTGATGGCGAACCTATGGCATGTGTTCCACAGGTGGCACATGGAGCCATATCTGAGGACACGCAAGGCATTGCCCTGGCCAGCTGATTTTCAGCCTTCCGGAGGAGGGCAGGTGGAGGCCGTTTCACTCTCCCCAGGCTTCAGGAAAGCCTCTGGAGCCTGTAGATAGCAAAAAATGAGCCCAACGGGCCGACTGGAAGTTCGGAGGTTTCAGTGAGGACTGCGTGCATGTGCGGGGGGGGGGCATGGAGAGCACAGGGGGGGTTGTGTGCACATGCGCCAGGGGAGGGCATTGCATTATGAGTGTGGGCACATACGAACATGCTATCACACACTCACCCTTTTGGGCACCAGAGCAGAAAAACATTCACCACTACTGGCCTAAAATAACTGACGGAACTGATGCAACAATCCAAATTCTATATTTTTTACTTTCAACGTGTAAAGTAAGGTTGTTGTTAGAACCAGTTATAGGAGTTTAGTGGTCCAATGCAACACTAGGTTTGGAACTCACTCACAACCCTAGATTAATATTACAAATGGATCTTGCTAAATGAGATAAAAAATTTGCATCCAAAATAGAATATCCGCAACATCTGAACTAAATATATACGTATCTGGAAGAAATGTACTGGATGTAAAAATCATCAATGAGTAAAATCCTGTTTAGCAGAATTACTTTATTGGCTTTGGTTAATAAAAAGCTGTATTCACTAATGAGTGGATCCTCTTCCTCAAACATCCTGTCAACCCTTTCTATTCAGTGGCTAAGTAGGCCTATGGGTATCATTGCCTCTTCCAAAATTCCAACAATCTGAAGAGAACAATAGAGGAAAGTCCTGAAATAGTTGAATTATGAGTTATATGCTTTTGCACCCTTGCTCATCCATACTACAGGCTATTTCAGCCTCTCACTTTGCTTAAGGGGTACCCCCTATTTTGCAAAGGTCCAAAACAGGTACAATCCCTTAAGCAAATGCTGCTGTGTGGATGATGTGTATTCATCTGCCTACTTGCATAAATAAAGCAGATTGGACCTGATGTCATTGAAAATAGCAATAACCCTTAGACTTATATACCGCTTCATAATGTTTGACAGTTCTCTCTAAGCAGTTTACATGGTCTATATTTTCTCTAAAATAAATGTAAAAAATCTTTAATTTTCTCAGTAAGCAGTAGCCTCAGTTTTATGCAATTTCAGAACGGCCTTGAACTGTTGTACAGGGAGTTAGTCAGATTTTTAAACTCTGATATCTATCTTTTGCTAAATAAATCTGTTTGTGAGAACTATTTCTCACATTGATAAAAACGCTGAGAGTTATCAACACAGGAAATGCCTACTGTCCCATCTTCACAAGAGAAACTTCTTTCTTTTCTACATCAACAAAACAGAAGGAAACAGACAAAACTCTTGCTGCTGAATTGCTAATGTATACTATAGGCATCTTATCTAAAGTAGGGCACTGGCTTGAATTCTTTTTGTCACAACTTTGTAATAAATTCTAATAAAAATACCATTAATTATTGCACTTATATTTCTGTTCCTTGAATTAACTCTTTCCAGTCAAGGGTGCAAAGAAGAGTTTGACAGTGTTGTTATTAGTCTTCTCCAATTTGACTCCAACTACCTTTAGCAATCATGGTTGGAAAGTCATTGGAAATCAATCCAATATTTCTGGGGAAAACAAGATTACGCGAGGATACGCTAACCTAATTCATAGAATTATTGAGTATGGATCATTCATGGTGTGGAATCTGATACCTCAAAAAGCTCAGGTCACTGGATACTGATGTATATTAGAGCCCCGTGTATTTCTATTCTGTCTTGAGAAATCCCATAGATTTCACTGTTCTTCCATACTATACTGTTCAGAATGAGCTTCACTAGCAAAGTGTGTGTGTCTATATGAGGTTCTATAAAAATATTTTCACAGAAATTCTTTTTGCCTTTAAAATAACATCAGATTTAAGAAAATACTTCTCATAACAATTTATTTGTTGGTAATAAAAAACAAGTTAATAGTTTCTTCTGGCGTCAGGAAACTAAATTTTATACTGAGAAAATAAAAACCACAGAGAAGATATTTTCCCAGTAATGTTTGCAATTCTTTAGTTTTTTAATTACATAAGACTCTGTTATGACATTCTATTCCTGTTTTCGTTTGGCTTTGCCAGGAGAGAGAACACAATCTTCACTAGAATTCATTCTCTCAAGAATTATAACATTAAATATTTTCTCATAAATTTATACCATGAACTTAAATGGTCTTTAAATTGTCCCATATCATACATTCATCTCCTAAATCTATCAAGCTCTTTCTTACAACCTGTGTTAGGGTCAACACCATATGTTGTGCTCAAATGTATATTCTTTTAAAAGTCAATGGGGACTCCTTTAAGAAATAGAAGAATAAACATGCAGTCCAGAAAAACTAGGGAACATTTTATAACTGAGGAAGATTGACCATTGAATATGTCAAAAACATGAACAAGAAGGAAGTAGAAATAGTTTTTTTAACTGACTTTTTTGCTCATTAAAATTGTAAGTATAAAAGTTGACTTTGGAGAACATGAAATGTAACTTGGGGAAAAAAGGAAACAAACCTCTTCATTCTTTTGTGGCAATTTACAAGCATACTATATATATATATATATATATATATATATATATATATATA